TTGAATTAGAGGTTTTTTCTCTGATCAAGTCGATAACCCAGGAGGTACCAATGCTTTGTCTGATTTACTATTCATTGGATATCATTTATTATTAGTTTTTATCCATGAGTACTAACATTTCAGGAAGGTCACAAGCTACTCAGGATGACTAAAAGACTCAAGAATGGTTAGATTAGAAGTATGAGTCTGACAATGTATTTTATTATTTATTTTATTTTTTATTTTCTTGACTCTGGCCATAAACTGCATGTAAGTGTGAGCAACCATGCACACACACAAGGGGAGAGGGTTTTAAAATTAAAAATGAAGATTTTTCTTCTCAAGTGATCGTACTGTACGAATTTATTTTGTATTATACGACCTGAGTTGGTAAAATGATTTTCTGTGAATAGTTCGTACCGCACGATTTATATTGTACTGTACGATGTCTTCCAAATCCAAAACCCTAGCCATCAAATTAACTTAAATAAGTTTTCTCAGCCGTTCATACTAGACGAAGTTCCTCGTACTATACGATTTATTTTAAATACTTACTTAAATTAACCCGTGATTAGTGGAATAATTCAAGGCTTAATTTCAAATTTGAGTATCCTCCTGGATGATCCTTTATTTTTTGCCTAATCGTACAGTACGATGTATATCATATTAGAAGATGAATAGAGACGACATTTAATCGTCCCGGAATTCATCCTGGATGATGCCTTGATTTTGACCATTCATATTGAACGATGTATATCATACAATACGATGAATAGAGATGACATTTTAGCATCCCGGTTATCGTCCTGTACGATCAGGTATGTTGAGGATCGTACCGTACGATTTATTATCGTACTGTACTAGTTATTTTGAACTATTCGTACACGTTCGTACAAGGATGAAACTTGTTTATACATATCGTACTGTACGATGAATAATCATAATGTATGATTGTAACGGCTACTTTTCAAATTCAGAGATTTTGGAGTCCGTTTTAATTTGTCAAAATTGTCATATTTTGAGAGAGAGAGAGAGAGAGGCAGAAGAGGAGAACATAATTAGAGAGAAAATCCTTGGGAGAGCTCTTGAGAAGTTTTGTGAGGTTGAGAGAGGAAGAAGAAGGTGAGCTTGGTGAGGGAGAAGAGGTGTGAGGGAGATCATACGGTTGCTCTGATCTTGCTACATCTTGCTCCTCCTGTGGCCCTGAAAGAACTTGTGGGAGGCTCTCTGAGGGAGAGACTCTTCTACATCCGTGACCTCGAAGGTACTCTGCCTTCTCCATGAGGGAGAAAAAAGAGAATGTTCTCTTCCGTCACCAGGAGGGTGAAAATAGCACTTGTCTCTCCGCCACACCGGGTTGGTGAATGGGGGTATTGTATGGGCTTCTCCGCCTTGCCGAGGGGGATAAAAGGAGAGCTATAGTTTGTAGTGAAATTCCTAGAGCGCAGGACTCCGGGGAGTGGACGTAGGTCATGGTTTGACCGAACCACTATAAAAACTTCGGTGTGCTTTTTCCTTATCGCTTTTTATTCTTGCGTGCATTTATATTTTCATAATATTTGCTTGGTGAATACTTGTGAAAGAAAAAGATTAAACTGTTGCACATTGAGTTCAATTGTTTTCCTTAGAATTTGTTTAAATTTTCATGTTAAAAAATTTAAAATCATCAAAAAATTAGAACTCCTACTTAGGTTTTAATTATTACTATAAAGTTTTCATAATTCACCCCCCTCTTGTCCATCTAGTTATTTCAGGGATGTTAAGCCCTTATGAACTAGTCCCAAGGCTAGCAAAAGGAGGGTGAATTGGTATTTTAAAAAATTTCTTTCTCGATAAAAAAAAAACTTAAAACCAAAACTAAGATTAATCACAAAGAAAATCAAAGTACTGAAAATAAATGCAAAAATAATAAAGGAAAGAACACACTAGATTTATAGTGGTTCGGTCAAACCTTGACCTACGTCTACTCCTTTGAGGCACCCTCCTAGTATTGCACTAAACTTAGTATCTCTCCTTTGGCCCCCACAGCTAGGCGGAGAAGCCCTTATAAAATCACTTCCACCTACCCCGGTGTGGCGGAGTAGCCGGTCCCTTTGACACCAAAGAGCTCTTCATCTTCCCAAAACTTCCCTCAAGATGAGCTTTAAATCCGATGGTACTAAGATGCAAGCTCGTCGGAGCAACTGTATGGAACCCCCTCCACACTCCTTTGACATCCCCTCCAAGGATCTTCTCCCTATCTCAAATTCCATCTTTTCCTCTCTCTCTTTCAAGCTCTCTTTTCAAGTTTCCTCCAGAAGAACGAAGCTTCAATGGCTGCTAAAGATGCTCTTCATGAGAAAGTAAGAGGTCTTTAAATAGATTTACAAAACTAACATTATCGTCCAGGACGATCGCTGAATCATCTCGTATGATATGCATAAAAAGAGAGCTTCTAAAAACCCTAAAAACTCAATTTCGATGACAAACATCATCCAGGATGATCAAAGGATCATCCCGTATGATGCGCTTAAAAATAGGGCTTTAGAAAATCATAAAAACTCAAATTTGGTGCCCAAAATTATCCTGGATGATCTCAAGATCGTCTAATACGATGTGCAGAATTTGACCTGATAGTCCTGGATGATATTTGGATAGTCCAGGATGATTAGTACAAAAATGTACAGATCGTCCAGGATGATATATTGTGGATCGTCCAGGATAAGTAGAAGAAAAATTATGGTAATTCGGCTTGGGCGATTTAGGAAAATCAAGTATGTCGGCAAACATCGTCCTATATGGTATACAGATCGTCTAGGACGATCAGATTGAAAACATTAACCATAATTAATCCCCTAATCATAGGATCAATTTAGGCATGATTTGTATTGATCGTCCTGAATTATCCAGATCATCCTGGGCAATTAGAACAAAAATTAAATCTTAAAATCTTAACTAAATTAGCATTTGGCGGCTGTTTTCCAAGATCATAAAGGATCATCCTAGATGATCCAAAATTATCCAGTACGATTAATTCAAAACTTGTGACGCCGCTCCTAGTCTTCGAAGAGGGAGAGAGAGAGAGAGAACGGCGACCTTGCTGCTCCTGGGAAAGGAGCTCCTCCGAATCGTTCACCTGCAACCCCGCTTCACCCCATGGCTCAGGACAAGTTACAGAAAAAAGACAAGAAGACAGGGAAGAAACAAGACATCAATTGAGCCAAATCAAAAATCTGTCTTATTAACATTTTACAACTTTATTTATACAGAGCATTCTTAGGCCACACAACAAAGGCCACTTAATAAGCTATACCAACACTAATCATAAGAAAAGGAGCTACTCTCCTTATTAGCTCCTGCGTCATCCTTCCGGGGTGGGGAAGAACTCCTCCACGTTGTAGTGGGGAGTTAAATTCGCAACATTAAAAACAGCCGAAATGTTATAATCACCTGGGAGATCTACTTGATAAGCATTGTTGTTGATTTTTTTCACAATCCTGAAGGGTCCATCTGCTTTGGGCTTCAACTTGCTGCAGGTGCCGACGAGAAATCTCTCTTTCCTCAATTTGATCCAAACCAAATTGCCCTCTTGATACTGCACCTCTCGCCGGCGCCGATTGGCTTGGTTTCTATATTTTTCATTTTGTTTTTCAATGTCCTTTTGTACTTGCTAGTGTAATTTCTGGATCTCCTTGCACCTTTCCTTCGCTTCTTGGCTGTAAGTCGACGATCTGTTAACTGGAATTAAATCACAGGGTGTCAACGGATTGCAGCCATACACGACTTCAAAGGGACTTCGGCCCGTGGTTTTATTGGGTGAACAATTGAATGCAAATTCAATCTGAGGTAGTATAAGGTCCCATTGTTTCAGGTTCTTCCCTATAAAACACCTTAGTAGATTGCCTAAACTGCGATTTACTATCTCTGTTTGTCCGTTAATTTGCGGATGTGCTACTGAACTGAACTGGAGTCGTGTACCCAATTTTCCCCACAAGGTAAGCCAAAAATGGCTAAGAAATTTAACATCTCGATCGAACGTAATTGATTTTGGAATTCCATGAAGTTTGACAACTTCTCTGAAATATAAGTCACCAATGTGGGTGGTGTCTAGAGTTTTGTTGCAAGCTATAAAATGAGCCATCTTGGAGAATCGGTCCACAACCACCATGACCGAATCTTTGTCTCTTTGGGTGCGGGGCAACCCCAGAACAAAGTCTACACTAACATCCTCCCAGGGGCCGAGCGGTACCGGTAGTGGCATATAAAGGCCGGCATTAGTTACCGGAGTTTTAGCTATCTTGCACACTCGGCAGCCCATTTTATAGCGAAGTACATCCCATCACATTGTTGGCCAGTAAAACTTCTCCTTTAGCATGGACAGCGTTTTATCACGTCCAAAGTGTCCGGACAACCCCCCATCATGGAATTTGACAATAAGAGCAAGCCGAAATGATCCTTGTGGAATACATAGATAAGATCGAAAAAAAGAGAAATCCATCTTACAGGTGAAACAGGGGTTGAGAGCTGTGTTGACAAGTGGCCCACACTGTCTGGAAATCGGGATCAGCGGAATACTGCTCCTTAATATTGTCAAATCTGACCACCTTGTGGTGTAATGTTTGCAGCAGTACGTATCGTCGACTTAAGGAATCTGCGACCTGGTTATTCTTCCCGGATTTGTGTTTAAGTCAGAATTGGAAAGCGGACAGTGATTCCGCCCAAGTGGCATGACGCCCTCTTAACTTCTTCTGGCTATCCAAGAACTTGAGTGCAGCATGGTCGGTATAGAGGAAAAACTCCTTACAAAGAAGGTAATGGTTCCAGAGGTGTAATGCACGGACAATGGCGTAGAACTCCATATTGTACGTGGAGTATTTTTGCCTAGCTTCATTCAGTTTTTCACTGAAATAGGCTACCGGTTGCCCCTCCTGGCTCAGTACTGCACCAATGCCCACATTCGAGGCTTCTCAATCCACTTGGAATACTTTGTCGAAGTCAGGTAGACGTAACACAGGGGTAGAGGTCACCTTCCTCTGTAGCTGTTAGAAATTGTGCTGAGCTTTGTCTGTCCATGTGAAGGAATCCGATTTAAGTAGACCGGTAAGGGGAGCAGCCACCGAGCTGAAGTTGGCGACAAACCGCCTGTAAAAGTATGCTAGGCCGAGGAACCGGCGCACTTCAGTTGTCGAACTGGGGACGGGCCAATTGTTTATGGCTTCTACTTTGCTCGGGTCTACCTCAATCCCATTGGCTGATATTATGAATCCTAAGAATTGGATTCGAGTGTCCAAGAATCGACACTTGTGTGGGTGACAGTACAACTTCTGTTCCTGTAAGAGCGACAACACTTGCCGGAGATGGTGCAAGTGGACTTGTACGTCAGGGCTGTAGACTAGAATGTCATCAAAGTAGACGATCACAAACCGGCTTAATAAGGGTTGGAACAACTGGTTCATGAGGCGCATGAAGGTGCTTGGGGCATTGGACAGCCCGAAGGGCATCACCAACCACTCATACAGTCCGTCTCTCACCTTGAAAGCATTCTTCCATTCATCACCCTCCCGCACCTGGATTTGGTGATAACCGCTTCTTAAATCAAGTTTGGAGAAGATGGTCGCCCCCTGTAATTGATCAAACAAGTCGTCAATTCGGGGAATAGGAAATCGGTACCTAATAGTAATTTTATTTAAGGCTCTACTATCGATGAACATTCGATAGATGCCGTCCTTCTTGGGCACCAACAGTGCAGGTACTACACACGGACTAACGCTTGGGCGGATGAAGCCCTTGGACAGCAACTCTTCTACCTACTGTTGTAATACCATGTGCTCGTCGAGTCTAAGTCGGTATGGTGGTCTATTGAGCAAGACTACCCCTAGCAGCAAATCCACCGCGTGTTGCACTTCTCTTAAAGGTGGCAATCCCACGGGTAGTTCTTCCACCCACACATCCGGGAATTCATCTAGCACGGGTTGTACCTCAATGGGTAATTCTATTTGTGCGGTAGTATTCTCCTTGAGCAAGAGGATGCATCCCTCATCTGTTTGTCGAAGGGCTAGCTGACACTCGACCCTCTTCATTAACATTGGTTCTTTAGCGCAGTTGTTGCCATGAGGTTCCATTGGCATCAACAATAACTTCTCTCCGTTGTGAGTTATTGTATAAGTATTGGCGGACCCATCATGGTGAGCCTGCCGATCATACTGCCACGGCCGGCCCAATAGGAGGTGACAAGCATCCATGGGCAGCACATCACACCACACTTGATTGTGGAATTTGCCAATAGAAAATGCAATTAAACAGCATTTGGACACCTCAACCTCGCTTCCCCGTTGGATCCATGATAGTTTGTAAGGGCGCGGACGGACTTCAGTGGGGATCTGCAACTTCTCCACCAATGCACACGAAGCTATATTTTCACAGCTGCCATTGTCAATGATAATTTGACACACCCGATGTTTGATGGTGCACCTTGTTCAGAAGAGATTATGACGTTGGACGAGTTCTTCCCTCTGAGTATTTAACAACCGGCGGAGGACCAGCAATTCACCTTCATCAGCACAAATGATTTTAGGTTCCAGAGATCCCCCAGTTTCGGCCTTGCCCATTTCTTGCAGTGGGTCAGCGTCAACTTCCAATTCCTCCTCTTCAATGACAGTGATGACCATCCTCGTCGGACAATTGGACGCAATATGTCCATAACCTTGGCATTTAAAGCATTTGCGTGCGGAGGTGGCCCCTGCACCATTCCACCCTCGCCCAACTGATGAGGATGTGGTCAGCACCCCTTGCGACGTGGATGTCCCACCTTTTGAACTTTGGGCAGATTTACCCTCCCACACTTCCCTGGGTCTAGAATGATTAGCTGGCGTGCTCTTTAGTTGTTTCTCCACCTTCAATGCTAGATTGATAACATCTTGTAGGGTCCAAAAGGTTTGTAACTGCACCACGTGAGCTATGTCGGGTTGGAGGCCATCCAGAAACCTCGCTATCGTATTCTCCTCAGGCTCGATGAGATCGCATTTCAATGCCAATTGTTCAAATTCGGCGGCATACTCCTCCACAGATAACTGACGCTGATTCAATCGGTGAAGCTTCAAGAAAAGTTCTTGACGATACTGTTCTGAAAGATATTTGCGATGTAATTCTTTCTTCATCTTGTCCCAATCCGTGATCTTAGATTTACCTTCCCTGGTTCGATTCCTCTTCAGGTTTTCCCACTACAGCGACGGGTGTTTCCGAAGCTTAATCGCTACCAACTTAACGATTTTGTCCGCAGCTACTTCTTTGAATTCAATGACCCGCTTCACGGTATGTATCCAAATCAAGAATTCATCTGGATCGAGTCTTCCTTCAAATTCAGGGAGGTCGATCTTGATTCCCCCATCATCCCTCAAGGTCGGTCAAATGGGCCTATGCCGTCGACGAGAGTCTCCTTCTTCGCTGGAAGAATCCTGATGGAAATGATTAACCTCTTCTTCTTCTTGGTGGTTCTTCGCTTCTTGCCGATCTCTCTGGGCTAGCTCTTGTTGTAATCCTCGGACCTCACGCTGTAAATCTTCCATCATAATGTCATGGACAGGACGTTGTCGATTACGTCGAGGTGGCATCTTGCCGGCTCTAATACCAAATGACGCCGCTCCTAGTCTCTGAAGAGGGAGAGTGAGAGAACGACGACCTTGCTACTCCTGGGAAAGGAGCTCCTCTGAATCGTTCACCTGCAACCCTGCTTCACCCCTTGGCTCAGGCCAAGTTACAGAAAACGGATAAGAAGACAGGGAAGAAATAAGACATCAATTGAGCCAAATCAAAAATCTGTCTTATTAACATTTTACAACTTTATTTATACAGAGCATTCTTAGGCCACACAACAAAGGCCACTTAATAAGCTATACCAACACTAATCATAAGAAAAGGAGCTACTCTCCTTATTAGCTCCTGTGTCAACTTGATCTTATGGATTTGACTAGATCTCACTCTCTTGTGTATATGTGTGCATGGTCACCAATCAAGCATGCACCCTTACAGGACTTGACTCAAGAAATCAAAATTATATCATTGAATATTACAGACCCTTTTACAAGAAAATATTATTCAACCCAATATTGAGCTCTGATTATTTGTTTGATGTTTGCATGGTATTCCTGAAATATTAGTATACACACAAATAAATATATATTGCAGATACTAGTAGACAACAGAAAGTGAGTCATAATATTTGTTATCATCAAAAATATAAACTCATAAGCTCAAGTTGCAAAAATCACCCCCTTTTCTATGATGGCAAATATTACTGGTTAAATTTGTAAAATTAAAAGCATTTTCTCCTAATCTCCCCCTCACTAGAATAAAAATTTAAAAATAGGGAGAGAAAATTTTTGCTGTTATTATTTTTCTTAAATAAAATAGATAACATATATAAATACACCAGTATGTTCTCCCCCTTTGAAATTATCAAAAAGCGGAGGAGCATAAACGAACAAATAAAAAACAAAACTATCCTTAATCAAGGAAAAAAAATATATTCTTAAAATGAGAAATTTACCTCTTGATTTTATTCAAAAACTTAGTAAGGAATGGATTGACAATGCATAATCTAGAAAATGTTAGAAATTCAAAAATCGTTAATCCAAGCTCAAGTTCTTTTAAAGGCTTGAAAACTTTTTAATTCAATATCTAAATCAAGGAGTAAATTAGAAAAAAAACTTATTTTTTTCAAAACTCTTTTCATAATATATATCAAATAGAAGATTAGTTCAAAAATTGGTAAATTAGGAATCACGATTTTCAAGCTCAAGTATCAAAAATATCAAGTGTTTTCTTAAGCTTTAAGAGGTGCAAGAAAGATAAGCATTACTTTTTGTGGGCTCACTTTATGCCTGTTGTCAGTTTTTTGGTGCACTTTGTGCTTCTTTTTTCTTTTTGATACCCTTTGTGTATCTTTCTCAATTTGTCGTCATTACGCATCTTTTGATTTGGCGTCATTTGCTACTTTTTTGATTTGGCATCTTTGGCCATCTTTTTAATTTAATATGTTACCTTTTTGAAAATTAAAAAAAAAAAAAAGTAAATCCATTCTATTGAGAAAATGAACAAGTTTATTAAGAAAATTATGAGGTAGATTCAACAACTTGTAAAAGATCCCTTGCAATAGACAAAATGTAGGGAGATGAAAAAGATCAATTTCAAAATCTAATTTATAATATGAAGAAGATTTTGAATCAAAAGTAAAATAACATCTTTAAAAAGATATAGAGAGATAAAATCATGAGTTTCTTTCGTTTAACTATTTTTAGAGAAGTTAACAACAACTTACATAAGAATTCAAGAAAAATAGGAGGTAAGTTTTTTATTTTTAGAAAAGTGAACGTGTGTGTTGATAAGAGAGAACTTCACAAAAAAAAATAAAGATAAATTAAAAATTTATTGAAAAAGAAAAGAAAGGAAAAAGAATGAAAATAAATCGAAAAAAAAAATACATAAAATACACAAAAATGAACAAAACATGCATACATAGAAAAATAAACACACAAATAGTGGTTTAAACATCATCTTGCTCCTAGTCTGATGACTCAGAATCTAGGTCTGCCTAAGAAGATTTTTTTTCTTTTCATTATTTATCATTTTTACAATTTACTTAGCTTTGCCCTTTTCTTTTGCACGAAGAGTTCTCAAATTAGGGCACCGATTTTTCATGTGTCCAGGCTTTCTATATCCAAAGCAAACAACGTTAGAAGAAATCTTAACATACTTATCATTTTTTACCTTTATCCCACTTTTATTGATGCTTATGCTTTGGTGAGGTTTTTAATTTGCTTAATAAGTCATTGCTTTGGTCACCAACTAAGCCACTTTTCTCCATATTTTTAGCATTTAGCACTATCATATCTCTTGCATCCAAAAGTCTTTGACCCAAACTTTGCTCGTAGGCAATGAGTGAGCCAATCAAATTATCAATAGAATATTCATTAAAATTTTTTGATTCACAAATAGCAACAACTTTGGCATCAAATTTGTCAAGTAAACAATGTAAAATTTTATTGACTTTTTCAAAGTTTGAAAATTCTTTACCTAAAGCATGTAATGATGTCACAATTTGAATAAACCTAGTATACATGTCTAAGATCATCTCATAAGGTTTCATGCAAAATATTTATAATCATGCATTAAAATATTTAATTTGGATTGCTTGATTTCACTAGTGCCTTCGTATATAGTGTGTAATTTATTCCAAATTTTCTTACCAGTAGAGCACATGGAAACAAATATAAAATCATCATAATTTAAAGTACAAAAAAATAGTTTACTGATTTAGCATTCAATTAAGGATTGATTTGTTCTTCTCTACTCCATTGATTAAAAAGAATATCAATTTTAATTTCATCTATAATACATGATGATATAGAATAACCAGTTAAACTCATTTGCCACATTCCGAAATTAATAGATTACAAGAAAGTAGACATGCAAATTTTCCAAAAATCAAAAGAAATATTTTCAAATAAAGGTGGTCTGATGATTGAATAACCTTCCGTAAAATTATAATTACAAAAATCATCCATGGATCAAAATTTAAAAGGTTTTGAAAACTCTTTTTTATGAATACCGCTCTGATACCACTTGAAATTGCACTGATGGCACTTGAAAGTTTGTTAGGGATGTTAAGCCCTTATGAACTAGTCCCAAGGCTAACCAAGAGGGGGGGGGGGGTGAATTAGTATTTTAAAAATTTTCTTTCTCAATAAAAATAAACACCAAGATTCACCACAAAGAAAATCAAAGTACGAAAAATAAATGAAGAAATAATAGAACAAAGAACACACCAGATTTATAGTGATTAGGTCAAACCTTGACCTACATCCTCTCCTCGGAGGCACCCTTTGAGTATTTCACTAAACTCAGTGTCTCTCATTTAGCCCTCATAGCTAGGCGAAGAAACCCTTACAAAATTGCTTCTACCTTCCCTAGTGCGGCAGAGTAGCCGAGCCCTTTGACACCAAGAGATCTTCTTCTTCCCAAAATTTCTCTCCAGACGAGCCTTGAATCCGATGGTACTAAGGTGCAAGCTCGCCAGAGCAACCGTGTGGAACCCCCTCCACACTCCCTTAAAACCCCCTCCAAGGATCTTCTCCCTCTCTCAAACTTCACCCTTTCCTCTCTCCCTTTCAAGATCTCTCTTCAAGTTTCCTCCAGAAGAATGAAGCTTCAATGGCTGTCAAAGATGCTCTTCATAAGAAAGCAAGAGGTCTTTAAATAGATTTGCAAAATTGACATTATCATCAAGGATGATCATTGGATTATCCCATACGATATGCATAAAAAGAGAGCTTCTAAAAACCCTAAGAACTTAATTTCGGTGACAAACATCGTCTAGGATGATCGTCAGATCGTCCCATATGATGTACTTAAAAAGAGGGCTTCAAAAACCCTAAAAACTTAATTTTGGCATCCAGAATCATTCTGGACCATCTCAGGATCGTCCAGTACGATGTGCAGAATTTGACCTGATAGTCCTTGACGATATTTGGATAGTCCAGGATGATTAGTACAAAAATGTACATATCGTTCAGGATGATATTATGGATCGTTCAGGATGATTAGAAGAAAAACTATGGTAATTTGGCTTGGACGATTTAGGAAAATCAAGTATGTCAGCGAACATCGTCATATATGATATACATATCATCCAAGATTATTGGATTGAAAACATTAACCATAATTAATCACCTAATCACAGGATCAGTTTAGGCATGATTTGTATTTATTATTATGGATGATCCAGATCATTCAGGACTATTAGTAAAAAAATTAAATCTTAAAATCTTGCCTAAATTAACATTTGGTAGCTGTTTTCTAATATCATAAAGGATTATCCTAGATGATCCAAAATTGTCCAGTACAATTAGTTCAAAACTTGATCTTCTAGATTTGACTAGATCTCACTCCCTTGAGTGTGTGAGTGCATGGTCACCAAGCTAACATACTTCCTTATAGGACTTGACTCAAGAAATCAAAATTACATCAATAAATATTACGGACCCTTTTACGACATAACATTATTCAACCCAATCTTGAGCTCTGATTC